AGGAACTCTCTCTGTAGATCAGGCTGGCCTTGAAGTCACAGAGATCCACCTGTCTCTGCTTGGATCAAAGATGTGTGCCGCCACTGCCCAGCTTATCTGTAACTTCTTATGAGTCTATGGTTATTTTTTAAATTTTATTTATTGTTAGTATGTGCACATGTGGAGGTTAAGAGGACAACTTTGTGGAGTTGGTTCTCTCCATCTATCTTTAATGGGAGCTGAGCTCAGGTTGCCAGTCTTGTGAAATTAAGTGCCTTTACCTGCTGAGCCCTCTAGCTGGTCCTTTTTTTTTTTTTTTTTTTTTTTTTTTTTTTTTTTTTTTTTTTTGCTATTTTTATTCATGTGTATGGTATGAGTCATCTGCTGTGTGTGTGTGTGTGTGTGTGTGTGTGTGTGTGTACAGGTGCTCTTGGAGGCCAGAAGAGGAAGTCGCTGAAGTGGATGGCAAGTACTCTGAAATGCTGAGTTACCTCTTTATTGTTTTAAGAGGGAAAAAAAGAAATTAAGAAGGAAAGGAAGGAAGCTGAATGGATAGGACTGGCAATGGGAAGGCAAGCAACAGCAGTATGGATAACAAAGGGGCTAGAAGTCTTTCTAGAGGTTTACCCTATCTAGGGCCTTCTTACTTTGGCCATCACAGTCTCAGTCTGTAGTCTTTTTCATTCTGCCCATTTAAGATGGTTATTTCTTCTTTGCCTCTTAATTATGTTCAGAAACAAAGAATTAGATCTATTCCTAGTGGCAACCCTATCCACCTTAGTCCATTAGGGTATGACCCTAGGCTTTTAGTTCTAATTATTAGCTTCTCCACAGGTTAAAACTGAAAGTCTGCTTCTTTGCTGCCAGAGGGTTTTTTTTTTTTTTTAAACATGTGAATTTGATGCCATTGCAGTTGCTAGAAGTTGCCAGAAGGCTGTCCTCCAGAGAAGTGTCCCTTGCTCTAGCTTATATCACTGTTTTGTTACAATTAGCATTCAGAATATGCACTGTCATCTTATTAAAATTTATATCTTTTAGCAGAGAAATCGAATGGAGCTTATTGCGGAGCTGTTGGCTCATCCTTGCATTTCTTAGTTACCCGTGTCTGAATTCATCTGAACTTCTGAGCCTCAGCTATTTCAAACGGGCATCACGATATACTAAGGTTAGTACCTGAGGGGTATATTAACCTTGCAGACAGTAATCTAATTCAGTGTCATCACAAGTGCGTAATTCGGGAGTTTGGAGTTTTGCCAAAAAAGCACTATTCAAATGAACATTCAGGGGTGGGGAGGTGGGTGTGGACAAGGAGGATTCCAGAAATAGTTCTGTAGGTATTTTAATGTCCTTTCCCTCTCACCCCAAAGGTTATGTTTAAGTATTGCAGAGAGGCGCTAAATAAAGCCTTGAGATTAATGAAGAAATCATAATGAAGGTGCTCCAACTCATAAAGTCCTGATAACCGTTCAACTTTCACTGAACATATTACATTACCTAGCTGACCTTGTATTAGTGTGTGGTACAAAAGCGCGTAATTGTAAGCCATCCCTCTGTACAGGCAACTCAGGGGCTTGATGTTAGTTAAATGAGGGTAGGAAGGACACGATTTACTGAAGGTCACCAAAGAGTCTCCAAAAGACGGGACAAATGAGCAATCTTAGGTCTGTATAGATCATAATCAGATCTTTGTTGGTGCGCAGAACGAGGTTTGGGCCCAACAAAGTCCCGACTGGGATCTCTTTGCTTTTTCTCGGTGCTCACACCCTGCATCACAGTTTGCAGACTCCAACAAGGTCTTCTGGTTCAAGGATGCAGGATTGCATCTTCCGGAAAACGTGACCCTCGGGGTCGCAGATGAGAGGCTAGGTAAGAGGCTAAAACAAAGATCCAAGAAATTCTGGCCAAACCTTTCATCTGCGTTCCCGCCCCTTCCACTTCCCAGGGCCGGGGCCACTTTCAATCCCCGTTCCTCACTTCTCGGGGCTCCAGGCACGCACCCAGCCTCAAGGGGCGGTCGTCCCTCGCAGGAGCTTTCCCAGCTCCGCTCTATTTCAAAGCGTCTTCCTCGCAGGCCCATCAGGGGGACCGCGGCGCGAGGCCAGCTTCCCCGGCCACGCTGCGCGGCTG